GTGTGTGTGTGCCTCTGCCTGAGCTGTGAGCAAACCACAGCAGCCCAAGGAGAAAATCTTTTAGATAACTTGCAATAAACTGCCTTGAGACCAACAGCAGAGGCTGCTGAGCCTTTCTTTGGAAGCTCGGGCTGGAGGAGAAGTTTTTCCACCACACAGAGCCAGCCCTGGCCCAGGGTGGCCTTTGGCAGGTGGGGCAGAGGGACCCGGGCAGCCCCTCCTGCAGTGTTGGACACTCAGCTGGGCGTGCTGGGGTGCAGCACCCAGAGCCCCTCTGGCAGCTCTGGCTCCCTCAGAGCTGCCCAGCTGTGGGGTGCCCTGGGCCACGGAGCCATCCATGATCCCAGGGAACGCAGGCCAGGGAATGGCTTCCGAGTCCTGTGGGGTGCAGACCATCATAAACCCCAGAGGATCCATAGTGCCCAATCTCCATTTGAAGCCTGGATCTATAGCAGTCCACAGTGAGGACATGGCTGTGCATTAAACCTGAGTGCTGCTCGAAGGAATTGCTGCTTACAAGGAAGTGGCCTGTAAATACATTTATTTACAGACTATTTTTGATAACGTGACAAAATGTAGGCTAACCCGAATTGTTACAAATTTCCTTTATGGCCTCAGCTGATCTCCACAACCCCTCCTGTGCCTGTGCATGCACTGAGCCCTAAATACACATGGGACAATTCCCAGCCTGGGCTTGGATCTGGAGCCTTTGGCAGCAGCAGCACTGACAGAGGCACTTCCACCTTCCCCCTGCAGCTTCCACTGGCCCTGCTGCCCTTGCTGGGGTTGGCAAAGAATTTGCAGAGACTTTTCTAAGCCAGGTCATGTGCTGTCATCATTTCTAATACATCCTGCAAATGTTTAAGCACATGTAAAATCACTGTTCATAAACAATCTGACTTTAGTTCTGTCTGCAAATATGGGCGTCTTTGATGATTTGAAGCTGAGATGGAAGGACAGTAAAAAAAGTATTTTTATAATGATGTATTATGGATGGATAATGATTTGCTACTGCTTTATATTTGTATATCAAAGGAATCAATTGAAATGAGCCAGTTCAGTGTCAGCAGAGCACAAATGCTGCAGCTTTTGTGGGTGCTGCACCCACCCTTGCCTTTGGACCTGGACCTGTTTGGGTCTTCTGTTGGAACATGAACATTTGGGTATGGGCATCTAAGGCAGGGAAAAAATTCTCTTTGGAGCTCATTTTTTAAAATAAAAACTGCCATTTTTCTGAGTTTCAGTTACAAATGCAGTAAGATTTTACTACATCTTCATTATATGATTCTGTTGACATAATCCAAAATTGTGAAAGCAAATACAGCACCATACATTAAAATGTTCTTATGATAAGTGATACTTTAAAAACTGGATGCTTTATAATAGTTTAACTATCTTAACATACATTCAGCCTTCCATGTTTGAAAATGCTTTCACAGCTCTTTCAGAAAGGACACTGAAATGTGTATTCACTGAGCAGAAGGTCCCTTTCAGCATCTATTATTTTTTGTCTTTTTTGTCTCCAAGAGTGGTTAGTTATGGGAAAAGAGGGTTTTGCTGTGTATATATATAAATATATATATATACACACATACCTGCTGCTCCTGGTACCAGAGCAAGCATTCTGGAATAAATTCTGGCTGGTCAGAGGGAAGATGGAGATGAAGCAGCCAGGGAAGTGACATGTTCATATTGAACTATACAAAATCTGTCCAGCTCTAATTAATCACTGTGTGCTTCACTCAGCCCCCAGCGGGCCAGACTTACTTTTCACAAGAAAATCCAAAGTAAAACAGTGGAGACAAGCTCAGTTCTTCTGAGTTGTTACCTGAAATTATTTCATAATGGTAAGTTTTGTGTCACAGTCCCCTCACAATAAGTGTTGCAGTCCAACCCCTCTGCATTAAGGTTATTAAAGAGATTTTGCTGTACACAGCCTGATTTAAATGCTCTGCATGAAGCACTTGAATGTCTCAGCAGCACATGGATGGACCAGGGCACCTTTGGACTGTGCTGCAGGGTGGGCAGGAGGTGTTTTTGGTCACATTCCCTGCCTTTGGGGAGCTGGACACAGCAAGGAGCCTGCAGGGTGCTCCTTTAGGATCTGGGCTTTGCTTGAACTTCCACTTGTTACCCAAAGCCAGATGCCTAAAATGGATTGTGCCCCCCATCCACCAAACTGGCCAAAAAAACACTGGCACTAAGTGAAACAAGATGAATTAGCTAAGAAGAGAGGAAAGGATTAACAGGAATGAAAAATAAACCTTAATTTGCTCCAGTGCTGGTAGGATTTGGCATTTAACTTTAATCTTATGTTTCGTTCTGTGTCAGGGAGAAATACCTGTTTTGTGTTTCCCCTGACAATTCCTGCCATTAGCTGAAAGTGTTTATTCCCAGAGCTGTGTGCCATCAGTTGATGATGACAAAGAGAGGTTTTGGCAGGAAAAATCCTTTAACATTTGGAACATTATTATGAAATATAATATTGTCCTTTGCAGATCAGTCCAAAGCTATTCCATGCAAATTGTTGCATTCTCTTCCTCGGTGTCAGCTGGAACAGAGGGGGAACCACATCCCTGCAAGTAAGAAAACAAAAATGCTTAAATAACAAGGAATAAACTCCCTATTGGACTTTTTCTTGATAGTTCTGTAAAGCTGCTGAAAACAGAAATGGTACACAGAGATTTTTGGTGTCAGATCAGTGCTTTGCATTTTATGTGATCATTTACACCTGTGCAAAGTAAGTGTTTGGTAGCATTTGACAGCTGATTTAGTAACGTTTGACACCTATATTACAATGTTGAAATGACTTTACAATGTGCAAAGCCGTGGAAAAAGCTCTGATTCTTTTCATGGCTTTTTCTTTATAGTTGAATATTGAAATTCCATTCCAAAGGTAAAAAAAAAATATATATAATTCCTTGCATCCTGACTGTAATTCTTTATTTCTTCTAGTATGTTATATTCTGCTTATACTACCTTGGGGGAAAAAAAGAAAAAAACATAAAAGGAAAAGAGAAAAGCAATTGTGTGTAATCCACAGCCTGGATTCACAGGTGCTGGCACTTACACCAAACCAAACTCAGCTGGAAGGAGACACAGGGAAGTGAGAACTCTGCCACTGGGATGAGAAACCCTGCAGGATTAAAACTCCTGATTTGTAAAAAATTGTAAGTAAATTGCATTATTTTTATAGTTATCATTTTTTTTGAAATTAAGAGAAATTTTCACTAAATGAAAGTTTTGGTTTTACTTAAGTTGGTTTTGGCTTCTTCAAAGCAAACTACCAAGCCAGAGTATTTCTGTTTTCTGCTTGAAGACAGGTGGTATCAGACTTTTCAGGACAGGGGGTTGGTCAGTTTGATACTTTGGACCCATTGGAGAAAAAACTTAATGTCAGCAATATCACCTCTGTGCATAAAGAGTCACTGCAGTTCTGAGTTTACAAACAGAGCTTTTCTCACTCCAGGACAACAAGCCCGGTAAGAAGGATCATGGACACAGCAAAAACACTGTCTAAATTGTCCTGTACAATTTGTGAAGGCACAGCTATTTGAAATTTAATTGCCAATGTTGTGTGTTGACAGGATGTGATATCTTAATGAAAATAATAACATTGTTTGCTTATCTGGTACCAGCCTGATTTCCAAAGGGAAAGCCTCTCAGACTTCACACATGGAAGTGCTTTTCCAGCTGAACTGCTGCAGTAGCCAGTGCAGCATGAGTAAGTGAGGTATCTGTGAAGTTCATGGACTGGTGAGGAGGCAGGGCTGATTTGCCAAGGCTGGAATTACTGACAGGCTGAATGACCCATGGCCAGGCTGTCACCTTCCTTTCCATTACACTCTGCAGCACAGCCCAGCAGAACAGAACCTGGGAAAAATGACTCCAGCAGGAGATTGCAGGGTTTTCAAGGTCACCAGCGTTGGCTTGTCATTTCCTAGATCAATTCCAGTGGCCTCTTGCTGGCACCTATTGATAAGGCAGAGAGCAGCCTCTTGCTTTGCCATCACTCAGAATTAAAGCCTCACGTTCACCAGTGGCTGTCTCTTGGTCTGAACCACGTGCACAGAAATCAAAGCTCCCCATGCCCTCCCTGTGTTCACAGGGCTGCTTTCACCTGCACTGCCTGGCTCAGGGCAGCCCAGCCAGCTGGCACGAGTGGAGAGCCTCAAATGTTAGCCAAAGGACAGCAAAATTATTTGTTTTAAACAAGAAAATAAAGCAGTGCTGAAGCCTACCCTAGGTCAGGGCTGGCTCCGTGTGGTGGAAAAGTCTCTCCTCCCACCCGAGCTTCCAGAGAAAGGCTCAGCAGTCTCTGTTGTTGGTCTCAAGGCAGTTTATTGCAAGTTATCTAAAAGATTTTCTCCTCTGGCTGCTGTGGTTTGCTCACAGCTCAGGCAGAGGCACACACACACCCTGACATCCTCTCTGACCCCGACTGCTTCTTCTCTCCCACCCAGGGCTGCTGCTCTCTTTTATATGGTACATTACATGTTACATATTTACAGTTTTTCCCAATGCCTATTACCTATATTAAATGGTGCTTTTCTGTCTTTTATATGGTACATTACGTGTTACATGTTTACAGTTTTTCCCCAATGCCTATTACCTATATTAAATGGTGATTTTCTTTCTTTTATATGGTACATTACGTGTTACATGTTTACAGTTTTCCCCAATGCCTATTACCTATATTAAATGGTGATTTTCTATCTTTTATATGGTACATTACATGTTACATGGTTACAGTTTTTCCCAATGCCTATTACCTATATTAAATGGTGCTTTTCCACTCTAAACCAATCTGTGAGTGCCAACATCACCAAGAACATGGAGGTGAGGAAGGAGAAAGAGGGAGGACAGGACAGGCCCAAATCCCTCCATCTCAATACCTCTGACCCCCATGTACAAAACCAAAACCCCCCTGTGCAGCACTCAAAAATTCTTCCCTCCACTTTGTGACTACTTCTACTCTAATATCTAAACTTTTGTGACTTCTTGTCCTTCCTGCAAGGTTGGTAAATCATTCCATGGTTCAAACCCAAAATCACAGCTGTTTGCAGCTGCCTGCCAGGGTCTCAAATGCTTCTGACCTGGGCCCAGAACCTCCAAAAATGTCTGAGGGACATTTTGAGATCCAACAAAGCAGGACATTTGACTTGCTCAGCGTGGCAGCTGCAGCTGAGGGAGGAGAACAGACAACAACACAAATGTTTATTGTTTGTGTTTTGTACCCAAAGGGTAGCAAGGGGAAATCACTAAAGGATCATTTTCTCAGTTTCAGAGAAGGATTGATTTCCAAGGATGCAGAGTAGTGCACCCCAGCACCCGAGACTACTCATTTCCCACTGTGGCTCCCAAACAGGATCTCCCCTGCCATGTGCTCAGCATTCTGGAAAGGGAAGGGTAAGGAAGATAACATCAGCTGCTGCAAATGGGCCTGGTGATTTCTGACTTCAGTTTTATTAGGAATTTGAAGGTGACATCCCTTCCTGATGAACACATCCCCAGCCCATTAGTGTCAGCCAGAGTTATGCTCACATGGCACAGAGAGCTGATCTCTTCTGTGTGTCTGTCCAGGCTCTGACACACAGCCCCACTCCCGGGCCTTACTCAAACAATGACAACTTAATGAGCATTTACTCAGTGCTCCATGTCTCTATAAAAGTAATTTTTAAATAGCATAATGGAATAATATTTACTCGACAGCCTCTGCATTGTTTATTCCCCAGTGTCTATCTTAAAGTCTTGTAAGATGGAAATAAATATTTACTCACTCTTCATTCATGCAGTTTATTCTGTGTAGAACTGCAGCCAGCTCTATTCATCCTATTGCCTTTCAGCTGGATGCTATAAAGAGAATAAATTAATTGTTGCTAAACTTATGTATGTGATAAAAAGGACAAAAAAAGTTTGTGCTGGCTCCTGTCTGCATTTTACTGCACGTGCCCCCTCCCACCCCATCCCCTCAGCCAGGGTGAGGGAGAGTATGTGCATATAAAAATCACATTGCCTCCAGCTCATTGCTGTCCATTGACACAGCCTCTCTGTAAAAACTTTTGATGAATAGTCAGCATCTAATTCCTCAGTAATAAAAAACCCTAAGTTGCTTGCAATCATTATTCCAAATGGAAAAATTAATTGTAAATAACTGGAAGTCAATTAAGGCTGGGTTCTGCCGGGTAATGCAAATCTTTTATAGTTTTGTTTCAGTTAACTGCCTCATTAATGATTTATAGATGTGTATACAGCTGTGGGAACCATAGCATTATCTAATGCACTCAGAGAATAATTACATATGAAAAGAACTACGTGGCTCAAGGGAAAAACTCAGAAATTACTTACTGCCTTAACTTCAACCGTATTAAGATGCAAAGCATTTAGAAACCAACTGTGATGTTTTATCATATTCTTGAGATTTCATGTTCTTTTTAAAAAGGGAAAAATAATTCTTTCTAAAAAAATATTTGTACACTTCAGTATTACACAGTACACAAAAATCAGGATGTCTCGGCTGAGAATGTCAGCATTTATTTATTATTTAAAAGACTAAGTTATAAACCATTCCCATTGTGCATCTGCTATACAGGAATAAAAGACATTTCTCCAGTTAAACAATTCATGGGCATATGCATCTATCTCCCTGAATTACACAGAGCCAGAAGTAATTTTGGGAAGACTTCCTTCAGGAGTCATTTTCCTGAATATACAAATACACTGGTACATTTTCTTTGGTGATGCTAATTTTGGAAGTTTGAGGAGTTTTTTGTAAAACTTTATTTTCCCTCTTGAATAGGGCAATGAGCTTGAAGTTTGCACCATTGGATACTTATGTCTTGTAGATTTTAATCCAGTGATAAACTGCTGCTGGATATTTCGGAGCACCATATAAGATCTTTTGCTTTTAAGTCTGTTTTTCTTCTTTTGAGGGCAGAGAAGGGGTCAGGGTTTTTCTCCCCAAACACCGACATTTGACCTGCCCTGACATTTTCCATGCAGTTATCTCCATATCAGTGCAGGTCCCCAGAGCTCCTGGCACTGCTCTGGGAGGATTCCCTGTGCCAGGGCAGAAAACCCAAGTGTGCCCCAGCTCAGCCTTCATCCTCAGCCTGAGCAGCCACATCCCCTGCTTTTGTCCCCAGGGTGGCTCCAGGAATATCAGGGTGTTCCTGGCCAGCTGCTGCTGGTTTGAGCTGTCTACAGCATCCTCAGAGCCACCTCCTTCCCCATCCCTGGGACACCTCCCAGAACATCCATCCTTCCTCTCTTCCTCCCCCACCTTCTCCAGGCCTCTGCTCCCAGCTCTGCCCTCCAGCTGGTGTGGCTTTGTTGGCTCAGTCAGGTGTGACATGAGCTGTCTGTGCTCCTTCCACCTGTGGGAACCCAGGGCTTCCCTCTGGCTGCCCTGGCAGGTCTGGGACCCTGGCAGGGGTCAGGAACCCCCTTGACAGAACCCCCAGAGACACTGGTTGTGATCTCTGCCCATGGAAAAGAGTTTTCAGTCTTACAGGATTAATTACAAGCTCTGAGTGTTTGATATAGGTAATAATTAAGTGTGGCATGGGGGCAAAAGTAAAATTTTAGGGTTCTAGATTAGGGGTCCAAAGGGGACAAGATGGAGGAAATTGGGTGTGCCTTGTCCTTTTTCTCCTTCTTCATGCCCTCCATGTCTCACTGTGGTGTTGGCATTTTTCTGTTGGTTCAGGCTGGGGACACACTGTCCAACGTAGGTGACAGATATTGGCACGTTCTTGTAAATGCAGCCCAGGGAGTTTCTGGTATTTAATGTTTGTCACATCCCACTGAGGGCAGAGCCCCACACGCTGCCCTGCAGGACAGAGCTGGGCAGGGCAGCAGAACATGTGAGAGATCAACAGAATAAACAACCTGGAAACCAGCACAGACCAATTATGGCTTCTGCTTTGGCAGCGGGGCAGAAAGACAGAGACTTTCTACAATTTCAGAATCATCAATAGCTCAGATTCCAACACCCACCTGTCCTGTGATTTTTTGGTCATACATTTGGCAATATTAAAACTCTGGCCCAGTTGTCTATTGGAACTATACAAGGCCAGAGGGAGGCAAATAAAATTTTTTATTTTGTCTGCAGATGTTCAGACTCTTACATTAAACCTGTAACTCTCCTGTACCACCTACTCATTTCCCAAATCACGTCAGCACATTCCACCAGGTAGGAAAGAAAAACAACCAGCCTGATGTCCTTTTTGTGGGGAGGAGGAGTGGGGAAAGGACAGCAGACACTCATTCCAGGTTTTCCCAGTGCCATCAAACCACAAACACTGCCTGGCCACCAGCCTGCTGCTGCTGTGGGATTAAATGGAGCACAGGATGCTCAGTGTCCTGCTTGCTGTGCTAGAGAGCTGCTTCCACAGAGAGGGATGCTCAGATGAAAATCCACAACTTTTTTTTCTGTGCAGAAAATCTGTGGTAGTTTCTGCTTCTTCATGCCTGTTAAAAACAGGTTGAGGTGTTTGTAATTCTGCTTGGCGCTGAAGGAAATTGTTGACTCTAGATTGTATTGACTGATGGAATAATTCGGGGTGATGAGGTCTCAGGAAGTAATTTGTTCCCACCTTCCACTCAAAGACTTCTGCAATCACGTCAGTGACCATGTGTGAAATGGAAGTGAAGGCAAAACCATGGGAATAAGTTTTTTGGAGGGTTTATTGCCAGATAATAAACAAATAGACAACTGAAATTGTCATAAGATATTTGTAACTCTACAGTGGTGTAATGAAACATGTTAACCTACAGGGGCAAATTAAGGGCTGCAAATCAAGTATCATTTAACATTAGAAAAATGTACTTTTAATTTTAAGCTTTTGAGGCTGTACAGCATAACCTGCATAAGGAGCAGCTAAATTAATCAAGATTAAGCTGTCTAGGGTGATTAAACACACAGGTACAACCTTTGGCTGGTGACATCCTCAAAGATGTCCTTATGGAGTTGTAGGCACAGAGTTACAGGGCCTTGATGGCACTGGAATGTGCCTTGGAATATTCTTGTGGAGGGTCTGGGCTTGACACCTTCTGGTTCAACACAGTCTGGCCATTCTTACCTTCTGCTATCTCTGTTTTTATGTTTTATTTTGGTGCAACCACCACAGGTAATTCCATTAAGTCTTCCTGAACAGTAGCCAGTAGTTCTTATGGCCATTTCTTACTTGCTTTTGGAAAATAATAAAATAAAATAATAATAGGTGAGATATTTGGCAAACCATCTGCTAATTAGCAAAAATGTTTAGTTATTTCTCTTGTTTGGCTATAGCTTATCACATTATGAGCGGGAAAGATTTTAAAGCATTCTCAGTTCTGGTTTTAATGTTCTTTATAATCAAAAGGGTAAAATGAAGGCACATCACCATGATGAGGTGTGTGGTGGGAGGCAGGCAGAGAGACCTGCCAGCTCTCACCAAGCCTCTGTCAGAGCTGAGTGTTCCATAAAGATGCTCCCTCAGAGACAAAAACAATAATGCAGATCCAATTTGCATCTCAGATCTTCTGCCCCTGAGAGAGGAACAGGATCGTGAAATTATAAACTGGAAGTAACACTTTATTGTGAATTCCTTTGCCATTTCAAATGCAGCTTGGAGATGGGATTGCTGCACCCAGTGACTCTGCTATAAATTGTTAAAAAAATTAATAATGCCAAGTTTTCATATGTCACAATTGACAACTTTTCGTAGCAAAGAAGAGAAATTTTGGAAGTTTGAGCCCTGATTTTGTCTGATTTTTGTCTGCCATCCTTTCCTTTCTCAGTCTCACACTCAGGCTGGAGATCTGCCATGAGGATGAGCCAAAAGCCACAACCATTGTGGTGGGACAGAGAGGGATGGGAGAGACAGGAGACCTCTGGGGACTCCCCATCCCAGCAGGTGGCCAGTGGAGCTCCCAGGTTCTAAAGGTGACAAACTCATTCCTTAGCAAGCACAGCTCAGTTTCTCTTCTGTTTCCTCCCACCCCCAATCAGATAAATTCTCATAACCCGGAAAACCCAGCCAAGGAAGCATTTATTTTGTTTCCATATGACATTCTCCATCTGAAGGATTTGTAAATCAGACCCAAAAGTCACTCACAGCAGGTTGAAATCTGATGTTAAAAAGATTCAATCTGGGGAAAAAAAAGATAAACCCACCCTGAAATAAATTCTGATCGATTATATTTACTATGAGTCCAATTATGCTTTTCCATTTTATATAATTCTTGTGGAAGGCAGGGGGAAATTATGCATATTTATCAATATGGTGTTATTCTTTATTCTGCCTGTATGCCTTTGGCAGTGACTTCAGAAGATAAATGCTAAACTACCCAGCTAATAACTCAGGAGCTTTGCTCCGAGTTCCAGATGCCCTGGAGGAGAGCAGCCCCAGTGATCATTTCTCCTCCTGGATGGAAATTTTGAAGTGTTCCAGTTGGATCAGTGTTTGAGAAAGAATTGTTCCCCTTTATTCCTCCTGGCTCGTGCTGTCCTTCCCGTGGGGAGCAGAGTTTGCTGGAAATGCCTGCCCTGAGCCCTCCCTGTGGGGTTTGCAAACATCCAGGCAGAGGATGGAGACCCAGAGGCCACTCCTAAAAATTTTAAAAAACATTTACCTACTTCTAACAGAAGAAAAGAGTGCAAAATGAGGCTGTGGAAACTATGCACCAAAATATATCTTTTCTGTACATGAGAATTGAGACTGAGTCTTAATTAAAATTAGCAGTGAATAATACATATTCACTTGAATAGTTTATTATTTCCTCAGTGCATGTGGTTTTATCACATCAATATGCATTCATGCACATTTTGTGGACTGTAAATGTGATTAGCCCTTCAAGTTATATTTAGGGCATTTTTAAATTGGCCACTTGTACCTGTGTGCCACACATCTCATCACTGCCCCTGGAATCTCATAAAATCAGAGAAATACTGAGAACTTCATCAGCACTGTGACCTCATTTGAAGAGCACCTAAAAATGCACTTACTTTTATTATTTAGCTATATACAATTGAACCTTACATGTGATAGCTAATTTTAAAAACAATATATGCAATTTCATGTTCCCGTGGGTGGTGAAATAAGTGTTATTTTGTCCTTACAGCTGTTACTTTCTCTCAACATAATAATACACAAATCAGTAGCAGAAAGACAACATTTCATAGTCCTTCCTTATGCTATAAAGGTGATGCATATTAACTTTGTAGTTGGTACTGGTATAAAAAGTGCTGGTGTATTCTAAGTGCATTAAACTATAAAGTCATAATAGAAAGTACCAGGATGAAATTATTTTGGACAGCTGGGAAGACTTTGATGCTATAAATTGTAAAAAAAAAATTAATAATGCCAAGTTTTCACATGTCACAATTGACAACTTTTCATAGCAAAGAAGCAAAATTTTGGAAGTTTGAGCCCTGATTTTGTCTGATCTGAAGAAAGGGTGCCCAGCTCAGATCTGAGCCCTGCCTTCATCCCCCAAACCTTGCCCACTCTGTGGGATAGGGCCGTGTAAAAATCCCAAAATAGGGGGGTGTGGGGACACAGAAAGCCTCACAGCAAAGATCCACCTGATTCCCATTTACAGATGGGGAAAGGGATGCCAGGTGGAGATTGAAGGGACTTGTTGAATGTATGTATAAATATACGGAGAGCTGGCATTTCATCTGCTCCAAATGCAGTCACACCAAACCTGGAGGAAGAGAGAAACCATAAAATTCCACACTCTCCTGCTGATTCAGGAGGGTGGGAGAACCCTCTGGATGGGCAGCTGATGAAATCTCCTAATTACTCGTGGCCATTAAAAGCTGATAGCCCTGCACTGGCCAGGAAAATGATGGATGCAGTTTGAATTCCACAATTCTCTCACTCTTTGCCCTTCATTTTGTGCAGAAGAGAGCCTGTGGGTGTCCCCATGTCCCCAAAATCCTCAGCAGGTGGAAAGAGAGGATGGCAACGGGAATGAATCAGAGTGCAGATCCAGAGTGATTTTAGGGTTCCACTGGTAACATTTCACTGAATTAAGGTGATTTTTTGTGTCCTGCAGGCTCCAGACAGAGATTGTGGAAAGGGAGAGATGAGGCTTGTGTGGGTTCTGCTGAGGTAAAACATTCCAAGCACGGCTGTGTCTCCATCCAGGCATTCCAGGGAGAATTCCTCACCCCACTGAATCCAGGAGCCTGCCAGGGCACAGAGACTGGCTGGGAAAAAAAAAATGGATAAAGATATTTTTATAAAAATCCCCCTGGGACCATCTCCTGTATTTAATAAGGAAAAGCACCTTCTGTGCAGCCAATAAAAGTAGAGTCTCTCATGAAGATTTATACCATATTACACACTGAAATTCAATGTACAATGATACCCTTGTGTATACAGTTGTCAGAATAATAATCTTTGTCTGTCTGATCAACTTATATTTTATGCCAACAACATGGCATTTAATATTATACAGTTTCAGAGGAAGAAAATAAATTTATTCATGTAACAACTTGCCCAGTAGCTTAAACAGACAAAGTGAAAAAAAAATAGCTTGGAGTTTTTACATTAACTTGTGATCCACAATACAGATTTCTATACAATTTCAGCAATTTTATGCAGCAAGAAAAACTATGATTCCTAATCTAGTTTCTGAAATTGTCTCACTATTTTATGCTGCCACGAGGAATAATGCAGTTGGATCTGACTGCTGCAGTTTGCTTTTGGCATCCTCCTGAAACGAGGAGTCTAAAAATACAAATGGTAATCAACAGCTTCTTTCTATATTCTGCATTGTCACATTCTGTGCTGTATTCTTAGGCTTTGTGCCTCAAAATATACATCCAGAAACACTTATAGAGAAGTTATACATGGACTCCCCCACAACCAAAGCAGTCCTTGAGAGAAATCAGTGGAGTCTTCCCACGACTGGGGCTGGTTCCAAATGATGCAAAGCTCTGCCAGATAAGAAAACTTAAGCAATATAGAAAATCTCTGTTGTATGTAGATCCATTAAATCTATTCTCCCAGCAGCCTGTGTAGAAAACTGACAGACTTTGAATGATTTATTGGTATCTTTTTAAAGGCATCTACTTTTTTACCTTACATTAATTTTTCTTTATATAACAATACCTGACAAAAAAAGGAAACCTGGTGACATGCCACTCCCACCCAACCCCCCCCAAAAAAGCTAATGAAAAGACTGGATAGAGGATTGGGAAGAGAAATAAAAGAGGATGGTTAGAAATGTATCTGTGCCCCAAGATGCACCCTAAGAACAGGAGCTGCAGACTCAGAAAATAAAGGGGTGCCACAGCCTTAGAGCAGTTAAACCTCACCTAAAGTTGGTTTTATTATTGGTGAGCCCTGGCAGAGGTGCCCAGGGAAGCTGGGGCTGTCCCTGGATCCCTGGCAGTGCCCAGGGCCAGGCTGGACAGGGCTGGGAGCACCTGGGACAGTGGGAGTGTCCCTGCCATGGCACTGGATGGGCCTTAAGTTCCTTCTAACCCAAACCATTCTGGGATTCTGTCATTGCTGATGAAAAGTAAAATTCTTGTGAGAGTGTAACAAAATGGGCAGAGTTCTCCATTTTTATCAAAACCTCCAAGTCCCCTGGCTGGGCTGTGATGCCTTCAGGGAAGCATTGCCTGATGATCCATTGGTGACTATCATTGAAACTTTTCCAAAATTGTGTATTGTTGCACCAAGACACAATTGAATTGCTGTTTCCTCATAACAGGATGTGCTCTGAGGGCCTGAGGAACGTGACTGATTCCAAAATACACAGACACACACACGTGCACACACTCACACACAGCTCCTGCGTGGGAAGGAGCCACCAGGACGTGTTGGCCAAGAGTTGGACATTTCTTTTGCAATCAAAGAGAGGAAACAGCTCTCCACTGTCATCTTAATTATCAGAATCTTCCTATTCAGGCTGCTGTGGACCAGTTTTTAGGTGAGAACTCATATGCCAAATTAATTTCTGTGGAATAAAAGAATTCTGTTTAAGAACAGAATTAGGTAGCTCATGACAGAAACACACATGAGAAAAATACACTTTCACTACAGAAGTAGAAAAAAAGCTGAAGGAGGACACAGATTAAAACCAGCTTTGAGATTTATAGGAATTTGTTTGCATAGAGCACAATTGGAGCACTTTGATCAGATTAACTCCCCTATATAAAAGCAAATCAACACTTCCAACCCCCATCATATTGCCCTGGGAGAAAAACAAAAAAAAGTCAGTTACAAATGAGCTGACCCTCAAAATAACTCAGGCCTTCATGGACTGATAGTCTGAAACTGCTCCAGAGAGGTGAGAAAAGGCAAAGGAAAAATCAAAACATCAGAAAAGGGAATTGCCTAAAAGCATAAGAGAGCTCTTGCACAAGGCCAGCTGAGCAGGGAGGTTCTGCTGACTGACACCAGCTGGGCAGGGCTGGAGGCAGACTTTGGAAATATATTCAGATTCATGGCACCGTCTGAGAATTAGAAACTTAGAACCCAAAAATAGAAGTTATCTATTTTTATTGGCAAAAGAAACCACCAGAAATCTCCCAAATCAGTTGCACGTGGTAAAATCAAAACACTTTGTACCTGGAGAGGTTTTATTTGTAGCTCAGTCAAATGCACTTTGAAAACTGCTCAGTGGTAAATGAGTACCAGATTAATTGCTGTTAAAATCAGATTATGATTCCTAGTATTGAAGTAAAAATTAAGGATTACAATTCTAATAAAAATAATAGATTATTAAGTGAAATACAGTTTTCATCACTCAACAACTATCATTACCAGAATATGCTTTTGTCTGGAAGTAGCTCAGTTAAAGTAACTTTAAGAAAAAGCAGATTTTTGTTTCTTTGTTTCAGAAGTATTCTACAAATTCTAATGATCCCTTTAAAAGGTTTCATCCCCTCCAATTATCTTCCAAATATATCCTGAGCAGGGATACTGTGACACAAATATCTGTGTGCTGCAAATGCACTGCACAGGAATGTTTGTGCTCGTTTAACCAGGCACATTAAATTGAGCTGCACAGATTTGTGTCATGTATTCCCCTCGGATGGCTCAAGAATGCTGGAGCCCCAGGAACAGATCACCTGCCACTCTTGGGCCCAGGCCTGCTCCTATGGAAGTGGAATATTTCATATTTATTAAAATAGCCAGGGCTTCCTACATAGGGAAGAGATTCAACAAACAAAAGCTGCTCTTTTGTTTGTATTTGGACATGGGCTTTTGCAGTCACATTATTTATCTTTATTAGTCTTAACATTTTTTGTCATACACCTGAGGATGGTGGATTTCAAAACAGTCACATTTTGTAGCTGATGGAAAAGAAAATTTCCTTCTTTTCTCCATACAGATGCATCTTAGGTTAAACTGTGTAAGCAAAGTTTTCCTGAGAGATTCCTTTACCCACTGGGAAAATTTTGGAAGATGCCACATTAAATATTCCAGCAGCTCAGACCTCATAGAGAGTTTTCTTTTCTAATGTAATGAATTTCACCTGTTTTTCTTTTCATTTACCAATTTGCTTATCCCAGCAGTGTAGAATGAAAAATTAGTTATAGAAAACATATAGATTTTATATTTAACAAAGTGAAGTAGGTAAAAACTGCTCCATAAAAATATTTTTTGCAGGGCTTTTTTGCTTTGAAAGAAAACAGGTATCCCTGTTCCCTATTAATCTTTTTTGATGCATTCCGTTCAGGGTGGCCAGCAAACTGATAAGATCGTTCCTTCAGATTTCAAAATTACTGAATCTGGAAATAGTTCTCATTTATCTCATGCACTGCTGAGAAAACAATCTCAAATCGTTGGTTCTACTGATGAAACTTCCTTAGCAACACAAGGGCTCCAGAATTATTTTTCAGACCTTGTCAATGCTTCCTGTGAGGTTTCCGTCACTGTCAGCATCCAACACCTCGCAGATGAGCAGGGAAAAAACCCAGCCAGCCCAGAAAGCTGTGATAAATTAATAGAAGGTAAATTAATAGATTAAATGGAATTAGTAGGAGCGATGATAAATCTAAAATTCCCTAACAATAGTCCAGTGAATTATGTTTTAGATTTATGAAGTGTTTTATCATGTAGATGAGAATCCATAGGGAAGGGACTGGGGGGGTTAGAAAAAATCAGGGAGGCTGAGCACTTGGACCTGGGCATTTCTTGGGGACTGCACCCCAGGAACCAAGGCAGGAGAACCCTCACTGCCTTGACTTCCCCAGCCTTGTTGCTGGACAGGGCACCCCAGCAGGAATCCTGCTTTCCTGGATCCTGCAGACTGCTCTCTCTGCCTTGCTGGCACTTAAATAGGACTTTTCAGCCATAATCTATCATGCTAAATTATATTTAGGCCCCAGTTTAAACCTTCACCACCTTCAGTTTATACTGGCAGTGTGCAGCCAGTCCCTTAAAACAGATTTCAATAGTTGTAAAGTCTGTAAAGTGTCAGCAGTGCAGGATTTGGCTTTTAATGTAATTGGAACAGAATAAAGTTACTTTTTTTCAGGTGCCTCCACTCTCAGGTTAGAGGGTGCTTTTTGCTGTGAAGATTTTTTCCTTCCCTGACACAAACGTTCACCCCAGTTCTCAAATTTACCAGTGCTCATCTGACACTTCACAAGTTGCCAAATGTCTACTCAAAAAAACCCAAAAAACCCAAACCAAAAACAAACACCCCCCACAAAAAACCCCCCAGAAAACCAAAAACAGAAAACCCAAACGGTTTCTGCTGAGTTCTAAGCTAAGTGTTAGAGAGGAAAGCTGGAAATTAGTGAGAACCTGTCTATCCAGGGCTGAGCAGAGCCACTGAACATTAACCCTTTACTGACTGCACTGGGTGTTGTCTGCCCTTTGCTCAGTCCCTGCTGCCAGGGAGCAGCCTCCCCTTCCAGCTGCTCATGCCCTGACTTCTATTTTTTACTTTTTTTTTTTCCTTCAAATTCCTCATCATTTTTTTAAAGCTAGTATGATTCATCACCTGCTTTCCAGAGTGGCTGACACAGGGCTGTGTTGCCCAGACTAAAGTAGTCAGGAAGGGAAAGAAATCCCTACTGAGGCTGTACAAGACAATCCATAATATTCTTAAACTATTTTATCACCTTTAAATCTTCAACTTACTCCTTGCAATACTTCAGTCTAAGAAAAGCTCCTTAAAATTTTAAGAACAGGTTAAGAACTCTTAAGAATAACTCAAGAATAGCTTCTTAACCTCCTTCTA